CTTCTACAATATTTCATATTATGATAATAATAATATTTTTTAAATTTCTTGTTCTTCACCCTTTTCTTCTTATGTGTTCAGGTTCTTTAGATTTCACGTTGGTTATAAGGCTAATTTGGCCAGGGAGTTATTATTAGTCTAAGCCTTACAGCTGTTTTCATAAATTCTGGGACACCTAAAAATTTTCTCATTTCCTGAAATCTTTTTGATTTCATCTTAAAGGTTATCTAACTCTTCAGAATCACATTATTGTCTTCAGAACTTCATTTCGGAAATAGCGATGTATTTTCCAAAGAGTTAGATGACCCATAAAACGAGACCAAAGAGATTTCGGAAAACAAGAAAATTTTTAGGTGTCCCAGAATTTATGAAAACAGCTGTAAGTTAAATTACAAACCTGTTTACTAGTTTTATTTGGCCGATAAGCCTCAACCGATAAACCAGTATTTCTTAAATTCCTCTTCAATCACGTTCACGGGTTTACTATGCTGATTTTGAAGGTCACTTTTAGCCCATAACAGTATATACAATTGATCAACGTATGTGCATTACTGTGGCCACAGTTTTTTAAAAAGTCACTCTTTTTATTATAATAAACTCTTGTTGTAGTGAACCTCTCATAATAGTGAATTTTTTATTATGGTAAATTTACTATAATCTAACTCTCAATTTAATTTCGTGTAACAAAAAAATAAAGAAATTTTTTAAAATTTAGTAACATCTCTAAATGTTGTTTATGAAACTACCTTTCGAGCTCTAACAAAAAAAAATTCCTTGCAAAAATTTTGATATATACAAGCATTCTCCTAACTACTAACCACTAACTCTAACCTAATTCTAATCTTGATATACCCCATGATCGATTCGAGACAAAATGCAGCTCCGATATTTTCGTATCGGCAGCTAATTATCGGCTGAATCGACTTGAATAAAAAATTGGATATCGACTAAATCAGTACGGATAATAAACTAATAAAGTTAATAAAGGAGTGCATACATTGTTTTCGAATACTTTGATTTACAAATTATTTTATGCTTTCCGGTTAAATTAATCCGAATACTTAACTTACTATTACGTACAAATCATTTCAATCGCTGGTAAAAATATAAAGATCTTTTAGTGATGGTAGAATAAATTCGCGATCAGATGATTTTTGATCGTTCTGAACCTCAGAAAATAATATCAACATACAAAAATTTATGTAATTTAAACTGTATTATTAATGTAAGTTTATTGATGATTATCATCTGATCGCGTTTTTTCTGCCACCACTATGTTAACTTCATTTATTATAGAGTTAAAACCGGTAAAACAAATTCACAAGTCAAGATCATAATACCTACTTACCGGTACCAATACATACTAATACTAATACAGATCATTTCAAATCTCATAGATTTAACCGTTAAGATTATTTATTAATCGGGGGAATTAAATCTGCATAACAAGTTCGCAAGTTATACAGTACTTACCTGCCATCATGCACAAGTACTACGATTAATGTAATCTTCACGGTAATTTTGCTGAAGATTCATGTTGTGAAATGCGGATAATGAACTTAATTGACTAGCTAAACTATTTTCTACTAATTAAAAATTAGTTACATATAATTGAAATATTGGCTTAAAATTTAAATCTTACAATCTACTCGGCATGTATTTACATATTGATATAAAATTTTAAATTTTATTACATATATTATTGGTACAAAGTTTAAAATTTGACATATTCATTGCGGTGAATTTATGAAATACCCCAAAATTTGAAAAATTTGACCATTAAGTTATAAATATAGATTTTGGCTGAGATAAGAAAATTTTCCCAAGCTAAGGTGCGTCGTTATAATAAATTTATATGTCTAATAAGGGTGGGGAAGATGGGTTAGCATGTGGGAAAGATGGGTTAGACGCGTTATCAGTCTAGATCAGAGGTCCAAAAAAACTTTTCGGGGTTTGTTATCGATTTATTAATATGTAAATTGGTAACTAAGATTTACTTTGGGGGACAAAATACTCGGATTTGGTGACCAAATTTTAGCTAAATTTCATAAATTCGTCGTGATGTTAACGTATAAAATTTAAATATAAAATTTAAATTTTAAATTTAGTTTTCATGACCCGGGCATGTAAAATTTTATTTACCGTATGGGCTAGGGTTGTTAAAACTTACCTGACAACATGTTAATTTACTGTAACTTACATGGCCCATATATAAGTAACAATTTATGTACTAAAGCCGGCCGAATTATGTGATAATTTCTACTGGCATTAAGTGAAATTTATATAACAAGTAATTTACATCATTTATACGTAATTTTGTTTTCTTTTATTACAGTATTTAAATCTCATACATAACTTACATAACTTACAAGGTAATTTACGTCAATTGCCTAGTATGGGCCGATTTTTTTGATATACTTTTCAAACCGATCTAATTCTGGTCAAATTTGCTGATCATTCGGCCCTTGGCTTATCAGGTTTAAACTGATAAAAGATCGGTTTGAAAAGTATATCAAAAAAAAAAAAATCGGCAGCTATTTTCGTAATTCTTGGAACACCTGATAAAAAATTGGCCGAATGATTTTTCAGCCGATTCGATTAAGTTTGTGATTTCGACATAATACGTAGATTCAATAAAATTCATATATATACGTAATTTAAGATCAGGTAACTAATATGGAAAATATTTGAAAAGTTGCCAAACACTTAGGTGTTAGCATATAAGAAATTCTCAAACACTTTCAAAAATATGGATGTATTGAAAAGCTTCCGTACTTTCAGAACCACGTTCACTGAACATGAATTTGTACTGTATGAATTACAATCCGAGATGGAACTCTGGTTAGACGTAAAATTAGTCTTATGACAATTTGAAGGGCTACATTTATTTGCAGGATCTTCTTTAACATGTACTTCGTGCAATATGTTTAGTATATAAAAGTCTAATTAATATATAGTACATTTATTGACACACTAAACATGTTGGTATTATTATTATTACAACGGTCTGTAAAACAGTCATTATGATATGGATCATGCCGAAATTGCAAACTTAATCGAATCGGCTAAAAAATCATTCGGCCAATTTTTATCAGGTGTTTCAGGAATTATGAAAATAGCTGTAACATATAAAATTTAAATTTCACAATTTGGCTTTTATGATCCGGCCGGGTTATGAAAACTAATTCATAAATTTTATATGGCATATTAATTAAGTTAAATACGTTTATATGCGTTTAATTCAGCTAGCAGGCCAATGACTATTGTAATTCGACCCTGAGCTATGAAATAATTTTTTTGTGGTCTTTTCGCTATAAACGCATTTTGTAATTTTGCATTTAAAACTAACCAAATTTTCATTAGTTTATCATTTAATTAAACTTAAATGAGCTTAGTCTAACTGACAACACCAATTAATGAAAGTTTCTTAAAAAAATACCAAGAGAATTTATTTTTAAAAAAAACGAATTGGTTAAGATTACAACACAAAATTAGCAAAATGATCTGCTGGGATTTTCCGCAATTTTTATTGTAACGTTACTGGGTTAATATTCAATAAATTTTCGACCAATGGCAAAGTACAAATGACCAACTAAACCTTTTATTCAATTTTAAAAGATTCGAGAATATCGACTTCCAAGCTTCCAAAAGTGAGAAATATTAATAATTTTAATACTGAATTTTAGTTTTCAATTTGTTTATTTAACGCATAAATTTGGTCTAGACAATACTAATTCTAACCTAGTTTAGCGTTATTAAGAGTGCTAATAAAATTTACATCAATGATACAAAACGAAAAAAAAGTTAACAAAGGAAAATAAAATTATTAAGTTCAAAAAAAAATGTTTTTTTGCTTACCTATGTTATATTCTAAAATAGTTAAAACCTTGTTGCATATGAATTTTTTGTGGCATTATTATCTGAATGAGATAAACTCACGTAATATTCTAAAGGAAAAAATAATGTATAATTATATGCGGTTATGTTTGCATTGAATGTAGCAATAATAAATAATTCATAATTCATTCATGTACTGTACCATGCACTTTCATTATCAAATTCTTTGTTATTATCTTTGTTATATTGTTAATAGATCATATGTAGATAGTTTAAGGAAAGGCCATTGACAAATACATAATAGATTACGGAAATATTTGAACATATTTTTAAAAAGATTTAAAAATAGAAATTATTTCCTAAATTGTACACAATAGTAATTAGGAGTATTACACCAATTTAAAAAAAAAGTAAATAGTAACGGTAAATCTTAATACAATAGTAAACCAACAATTTTTTTTCCTTAAGCTTTGTTCAGAATCTCTAACACTAAGTATCGGTATGTTCATTTTTCGGATCATCTTTGTTTCATCCAGTACCTTGTTTATGGTAACTAACGCTGCATTGAATTTGATCGAACAGGAGAGTTTCACTGTCGTATGTTAAGGTTTAACCCATACATACATAGAAATTTCTAAAACGTTAAAAATATGATGGTATCCATATTAAGAAAACAGTTTCTAAGCCGAATTGTTGGTAACACCCAAAAATGTACGATACAATGTCACGCTGAAAACAACGATAATGAAAAAAAAGATATCATTGGTTATAAAAATGAATTAAGAACCTAAAAGTAATGACGTGATTAGTGTTGTTTATTAAGCTTAAAAAATTTATAAAAGGAAGGAGGGGAATGCTTCGGTAAAATCTTCATCCCATTTATAGTAGAAAAAAAAAGGTATTAAGGGATCCCGTAGTGTATACGTGCTCTGTCTCAATTCTCACCTCCTCTATAATAGTTAGCTCTCGTTGATCGGGTCATCTTTAAACAAAAAAAATCAAAAGATAAAATATAAAATTCCTTCATTCCGAACTTTCTAATTTCCTTGACACTCGTTGATCGGGTCATCTTTTTTTTTAAAAAAAAATAAAAAACAACAAAACTTTCATATTCCCAAATTCCCTTTTGACCTCGTTGATCGAGTGATATTATAATAATCGAGATGTTGTCTCCATTTTCACCTTATTCTACGAAATGCTTCTACAATTTCAGTACCTTAAATAATCAATCTCAAAAAACTCAAAATACCTCAACTTTTTCCCCTACAAAAAATCTCTTCAGTCTTGTCACAAATTCTCAAACACCAAAAACTCCCACGGCTTCTATTTCTTCACCCTCAAGAAGCCTCTTCAATTTAATCGCGAAACCTCAAAGCTCAAAATCTTTAAACGATTCACTAACTTCTACCACCGAAAAACTAGATGATTCCGTGGATACCACAAATAATTCTAACAATAGTCTACAATTGAATAATGATGATTTTAAAGATTTGAATTTCGAAAACGAATATGGTGAAAAAGTTTATTATACAAAGGAAAATGTCTATGTCGCTAGAGTTGTTAAAGCTCATAAAATATACATTAAAGAGGAGTATTATGAGCAAACGATTAACAAAGAGATTGAGTATCTTCAAGAATTGGCTAAAGGTTGTGATAACATAATTCGATGGTAGGTATTCTTTTTTTTTTAAAAAAAAAAAGAAAAAAATTGTAAAATCGAGAGCATTTATTTACACATTATTTAATAGTTATGGATATGTTACAAGAGGCTATTACCTTTATACGATTACTAGCTGGGCGAAATTCAGGCTTAATGACTTACTTTTTTCGAAAAAGGATAAACTTAATTGGAATCAAAAAGTTTCGATCGCTCGAGGGATCGCTAATGCTCTACGACATTGTCATCAACAAGGAAAATTACATTATGATCTCAGGAGGTAACGTATCAGAGATATAACAATAGGATACCATTTTTATTTGTTTGTAAATGAAATTAATCAATTTTCACCTTTAGCGAGAACATCTTATTGACTGATGACTTAGAACCAATGCTTTACAATTTTCGTATTCCTGGAGGATCATCATCTACAGACTGTCTTACAAGGTATATATTAATATATATATATTAATTGCATATTATCTTCCTTCATATAAATGACCATCACATTTGTCAATTATTATAGATGGTCTTCACCGGAGGCTTGGAAACACAAGATACACAAACCTTCGAGCGAAGTATACAGTTTCTCAACAATCCTTTGGGAATTATCAGCTGAAAAGTTACCTTTTGATTCGATACCTGATGAATATATTTGCCAAACAGCTAATAAACGTCCTAAACCCGAATCAATAGCAGGAACTCCAATAGTTTATCGAGATCTAATGATAAAAGGATGGGCTCAAAATCCTAATGATCGTCCAACAATGGATGAAATTTTTAAAGTTCTTGAAATTTTAGAATTTGACTTTAAGAATGGTCGAGATATTAAAAGAGTTTCCGAAACTTCTAATAACTTTGATCTAACATTTGATAAAAAAGTGTCAAAAACTTCTTCCTTAGCTAATGACTTTGATATGGCACTGGAACTTGAATCTAATGTATCATCAAATGATGATTCTACTATCTTTATCCCTGATTTTACTACGAATGCTTTGAATCGTGACGATTATTCTGATCAAACTTCTTCACGTTCTTCAACTTTACATTCTGTATCAAATTTATATTTGTTACAAGATTACATTTATTCATCTACGACATTACCAAATTTACTCTCAAAACCAGAATCAACAACTTCAGCCGATCCACTACCTGTATTATTACATACCCTGGAAGACGCCATCTCATTTTATAATAAAAGAAAGTATAAGAAAGCATTTGAAATTTTTAAAGCTCATTCTGAATGTAATGATGATCCAGTCGCGAATTATTGGATTGGATTTTACTATTACAAAGGCAAAGGTCTTGATGGTGAAAAACCTAATTTTAAAAATAGCGTAAAATATTTATCAAAAGCTGCTGAACAAGGACAATCTGATGCTCAATTTTTATATGCAAAATTATTATTTACAGGACATTCAATTGAACGTCATAAAAATAATTCAATGAATATTGGTGCAGAAATGTTGAAAAAAGCGGTGGATGCTGGGAATATTGAAGCAATGACTTATTATGGAAAATTATTGATGAAGGGAGGTTACACTGTGAAAAGGGATGTTAATGCTGGTAGAGAATTAATTAAGAGAGTTGACGAAATTAAAATTTTGACTTGTTCTAATAGTCGTAATAATTTGGCTTCTGTTTCTATGAAAAAGACCAAGAGTAATGTATCAACTTTGGAAAATTCTGTAATTACTAGTAAGATGAAAACTAGAACGTTAAGCGCACCTTCTAAACCTACAAATATTGCGTCACGAAGATCGGCAAATTTATCACTTACGATTGATACTGAGAAATTGAGGCTAACTACTTATTATTGAGCAATGTAACATACTGTAGAGGATTTATATTATATTGTATAGTATATGGGACAGAGCACGTACTACGTTACGGTCACTTTAAAAATGTATTTATTCATGTAAAAAAACGGTCTGTTATTCAATAAATGTTCACTATATTAAATTACCTTTGATATTGAAAATGTTTGTAATAAGTTATATTGATTCTGAAACTTAAAATGTTATCTTGAAACTTTTTAAAGTTACAAGATAGAACTAAACCTTAAATAATAACTATTGATAACTATTTAATCATAGCGATAGTTGATAAAATTTTAAATCCTAACCCAGCCCTAAAATGGCTAAAAAAAATATTAAAATTTTGGCACCATCTGCGACAATAATTTTAAATCTTGCCTTAAAGAAGTACGGATTGTTGAAATTTGATGACACCTGATAGTCTCGACGTAGCATAGACTATCTCGAGGCTTCTAAACGCCTCTTTTGATCCAAACTCTATCATCGGTTACGCAAAGTCAATTTTGGATTTGCCGTTTTCATACCTTTCATTATAATATATAGTATATCGATATTTCTGTTTTAAAAGAAAATTTAAAGTTCAAACATCACAAAATTTTAGAGCATGTAGAATTTATTATTTGAATAACTTAATACACACAATACTAAAAGTATGCTATATAATTGCTTATTTCTTCGTTACATTTGTTATATGATTCAAGTTTCTCTGCTATATAATAAGCTAGAAATTTAAATTACTAAGGACCGTTTTTGGGACCAATACTAGACTAAAGAAATTGATTGGTTTATTAAGGACCGGGATGAATTGGACCGAACCGAACCGGGTTGATCCATCCTTAGTCTCAATGAGATGGTTCAAAGATTGTCATGAATCCTCGATTTTACATCGGCAACAATATACTATGGTACACCGTACCATAGGATCACAAAATTTACATGGTCTGTGTTTTTTGTGTTTTAGTGATCTACTAGTGCTTTAGAGTGTATGCAAAGCGGATATTGATCTGCGTATTGCACAAATTGTATTCTTGATATCTATTTAGAAGAGCGATTACTTAAAAATATCTACCAAAATAGAAATTCATTTAAACTTTAAACAAAGAAATTTCAACAACTAAATGTTTAAATTCAATAAAAATTTTCTATTTAAATTCTATAAATTTATAGAATTTTAAATAAAAAAATTCCATTGAATTTAATTAAATAGCTGTTGGAATATCTTTGTTCAAAATTTTAAAAAATTTAATCTAAAATAGAAGCTATGTCAAACTATTAAATTTTAAAATATTTTAATAATTACTACACAAAACATCTTAAATAAAACTTTTTTTAAAAGTAACCAAATTTAAACAAAATACTAAATTTTGATAGACTAATACGTATTTTAAATTTTATTATATTTGTAAAATTTTACTATGTTTTTATATGACCAAATTTTATTTTATTAATAATTTCAAAGAGGTATTAACTTTATTAAAATTTATTAAATTAAAAAAATTTTATAACTTTATTCTGCTTGTTTTTTTTTTTTTGTATATTTTTATAAAATATTTTTCTTATAGCTATATTCTTTATTTTTTTAAAAAAACTTGGTTTTTACTTGCCAATTTAAGACATCCTGCACTGTATTTGTTCAGTTTTTCTTTATTTAAATTCTAAAAATCTGTAAAATTCAAATAAAAAAAATTGTATCAAGTTTAGATGTGTGTTAATATATTTTAGTTCAAAATCTAAAAAAATTGACGCAACTTCTATTTTGACCTTTTTAAAAATAATCTTTATATTGTATAAAATATATAAAACCAGCTCACCAAGATTATTAAAACACTAAAACTGTGCACTAAACATTAATAAATTGAAATTTATTATTTGTATTCAAAATATATTTTTTATAGAAATCATGTATAGCACCAAATCACTAAAATTATAAAACACTAGATCGCTATATAAAATAAAACACTAGATCACTAAAACTCTCGATCGCTAAATTACTAAATCATTAAGTAACAAAACAAAACAAATCACTTTGTGTACCATATTTGTAATAAAGAGTAAATATGATGCTACCTAACTGTTATACACCTTTTTAACTATAACATAAGACAATGCTCATAATTAGCACTTGTGGAGCCCTAGTTTTGTTACTTCACCAAAACGACTTAGATGATTGGTTTATAGTATGTTATATTAACACTAAGAGCCTAACCTTTTCCATATAAAATTTTATTAACATATAATATATACTTATAAAAAAAAAACAACTAGGTATCACAAGTTGTGGTAAATTTCCAAATAATCTTGAACATTATTACTTTAAACAGTTTACAGAGCTTGTCGAATATTTTTTTGAAAACGTTTACAATCCTCAAAAAAAAAAAAAAAAAGCATGGTCACATCATGTAATTCAGTAATTTAAATGGTAAATCTTTTTAACACAACATAAAGGTCCAATATTCGTTGGATTCACGAAATTTAAACAATGTAATACCACATGCGTACGTTTCTTATACATCAAATGCATTAAGTCGAGAAATTTAAGGAATTTAAAAATTCTACATTTTCATCAGTACCGAATGGTTGATATATAATAAAAAACGTCAATTATTAGATTTTCGAAAACTATCAACTCGCTTTGTTTTCTACGTTATTATAGATAGTTATAGACATAAACTTTATACATTACTTTCGCAATTACAATATATAAAAGTATTCCAAATGCCGGTAAAAAATTGGAAAAAAAAAGTTTTTGAAGCATTTAAACTTTTTTCACCTTCGAATAAAGGTAAATTATTAATAAAAATACATAAACGTTATAAATTCAAAATTAATAATATTTCTTTTTGTACAAAGCTAACCAAATTGATGACCAAGGTTGTTGGTCATCTTCGGAATCCGAAAGCAGTAGCCTATCAGTTATCAGTAGTAGAAGTCGCCTATCAGTCATCAGTAATAGAAGTCGCCTATCAGTCATCAGTAATAGAAGTCGTCTATCAGTCATCAGTAGTAGATCTCGACGCAGTAGTTTCAATAGATCAATCAATTCATTCCATGAAGAAACGGAATTCTCTGAATGCAGTATAGATTTTGCAGGTTTATACAAGTGTCCAAAATGTGGTAGACCAGGATTACAACAAGATTGGTGTAGAAAATGTGAATCAAGAAAATTTAAAAAACTTCCGAAATGGACAAGCGGTAATGAATATCTTGATAAACTTATTAAGTATACTCAAAATAAAGTCTATGGGCCGTATTCTTACTGGGAATGGATTCCATATGAAAAATTTTCGGATATTCAGTATTTATCGAAAGGTGGATTTGGAACTATGTTTGTTGCTACTTGGGTAGATGGACCTAGAGATTTATGGGACCATGACTCACAACAGTATGTTAGAAATAAAAATTATAAGGTTGCGCTTAAAAGACTCGATGATGATATTATTAATTCGGAATTCGTTAATGAGGTGTGTACTTATGAAAAAAATGACAACTTTTAAGAAAAATTAATACTTATTAAAATTCATCTTTTATAACAAAGTTACGGTCATATTATTGTAGAAGTAGAACACGTTGCGATTATGCCATTCGGATATACGGAATTTCTCGTGAGCCTGAGACAAATAGCTATATTATAGTTATGCCTTATTACCATAAAGGTGACCTTAGAACCATTTTACGAGAAAGAAAAACAGATCTCACATGGCAAGAAAAATTCCAAATTTTATATAGCCTTTCAGATGCATTAAAAGACATTCATTTAAAAGATCACACACATTGTAACTTACATCCCGGCAACATATTTCAAGTGTCTCAAGATTCAAGCGTACGTATTATTATTGGAGATCTTGGAATGAATAAGTCAGCATGTAGAGACCCAACAGCCTTAGAATCTTACGGTGTTGTACCTTACGTGGCACCTGAGATCTTACGTAGTTGGCCATATACTCAAGCTTCAGATATATATAGTTTTGGCATGATAATGTGGGAATTGTCTTCGGGTAAACCTCCATTTTTGGATAGGGCACATGATGAACATTTAGTGTTTGAGGTTTGCGAAGGATTGCGACCAGATATTGTAGAGGGAACACCAAATTGTTACGTTGAACTAATGAGAAAATGTTGGAATGATGAACCATCAAACCGTCCTAGAGCTCTTGAAATTTATCAAATTATTCAGTCATGGGATAATTCGCTATTTAGGTCTATAGACGAACAGTTGTCAAGCATTTCAGAAAGTTCCGATGAAGAAGTTAATGTTCATCCTGAAGCAATATATTCAAGTAGGCCACTTAGCGGAATCATTACACAAGGGTATGGGCTTGAATCTACACTTCCCCAGGATAGTTCACGCAAATCTATTGTCTTCAAAAGTGAGTTTATTATTATTAAATATACTATAAAAAAAAAAAAAAAATTGGGTTAAATAAATTAATATATTATTTTTTCAACATAGATTCCGAAATTCAAGATATGGATAAAATCAAGGAAGTGATCCCGGAAAAGAGACATAGCAACTTGGCACTTGAAAAAGCTACGCAGCGCCTTTCGACCTCAAATAATGACATCCCAACTATTGAAATACATAAATATGATTCAGAACCTTCGGACGAAGAGAAAGATTGAAATTATTATAATACTGTGTTTATTTATATATATATATTTATTTATTAATGATTATATGCAGTCCAATTTGATATTTATAAGTTACATAAATGGGCTTGGCAAATTCTTTATTTCTAATCACGTGCATTTTTTACAATAATTACCCGTCACTAGAAAATTAGTTAATTTTGATGCCAAATAATTATTATGTCACCCATATTATATAGAGAACCATAATAAAGATTTGATATTATATTAAACTTCAACTCGATACAATGAAAATACATATGGCGACAATATAACGATTATCGTTGTAATAATTAATTAGGAAATTCTTAATAATTTTTTATTATACGTAGTAAAAATATGTAAATTAAAAGTAACAGGGATCCGATCAACTCACCGACAATCACTTCGTAGACACCACATTTTACCGACAATTACTTACTGACAAGTTCATTTCACCGAAGCTCATTTTACAAACAAAGTAATTCTGATCAATATCATTAGGGTTAGATTAGAATTAAAGTTAATGTAATTTTAAAAAAAACTTGTCGGTGAAATGAGCTTCGGCGAAATAGACTGTCGGTAAAATGAACTTGTCGATGAATAATTGTCGGTGGAATGTGTTGTCTATGAAGTTATTGTCGGTGAAATAATACGGACCCAAAGTAACAGTATATACAATTACTTACTAAACCGTTTATTTGCTATTTATGTCTTCATACACACTTAATCGTCTGTCTCTCTTTATAACACAAACTAGCCTGGCGCGTGTCACTACGTGCCACAGTTTTAATTCAATTATTACAAAGTATACTCAGACCAATATGAAAAGCTACAGTACATAAGTAAGTATACAATCGATACAGACACGTAACCAATGTATTGTAAATATTATTTTATTAGTAACAAAAAAATTAAAAATAAAAAAAAGCATGTATAATTTCTAAGTATTCCTCTTATTTTCTCGGATCATGATTTCTCATTTTTCTGATAGTTATTTCTTCGAAAGAACATTTACTTGATACATACAAGGTGTGGATTTATCAATACTACATCCTTATAACTAATAAGCGATGGTGCTATCTTTTGTGATATCAAGCAAATGCTTATGGGAGAAACGACTATCAGGAAAATGAGCAGGCACCATATCCGGCAACAAATATTCGATTCGTGTATAGTAAGGTAGCGTAGATTAAAACAAAAGTGTTAGAAGTGATGTAACAAATCTAAATGAACTAAAGATTAAAAAACTCAGTATTTTTACAATTTAACCATTTACCAATTTATTATCTTCGTGATGCTGTCGGCATCATATTTTACATAATATGTCTGAGGTACTATAAGAAACAAAAGAATTGAGGTTGCAGAAGGATTTTTTTTTTTTAAAAAAAAAAAACACACAAAAACAAATTCACTCAATGTTATCTGCATACGTGTTTAGAGTATTTTTTGATAGATAATATGAATTTAATCCATAAGTTAATTTAAAAACTTTTATACTGCATTTATTAAAACTAATGAATATTTTACAACCTTGATGAAATCGTCATCTTTATTATCAGGCATTAATAATCGTGACGTATGAATTTAACCCATAAGTTAATTCAAACATTAATTTGCACTTATTTTAATACGTATATACTATATATTAGGTCATATATCAGACAAAGAATATCCGAAATTCAGAATTAGAGTGTCGGTATTAAAAGCTATAGATAAATATCTATATGAGCTGCCGTCAATGGAAATAAGGCAGGTTGGCATTTTAAAAAAATCAAAGCCTTGACTTTCACAGCTAATATCTTGGCGGATTTTATGGTATCTTAACAATTTAATAGTAAAAAGAAAGCTTATGATCTAAGCTTTCTTTTCAGTACTCAATCATTAGGATAGCTCCAAGACATTAACTGTGAAAGTCAAGGCATTGATTTTTTTTAAAATGCGAACCTGCCTTATTTCTATTGACGGCAGTGCGTATATTATAGTCAAAAAAGGTTGCATTACTTCTAGAATGGTGGAATGGTGTAAGTGGATATTTAATATCTAGAATTAGAATTAACAAAAGTTAATCCTGAATCTACTTAAGTATGATTGACATTGTTAATACTAAGAGGTTTTGAATAACTTTAGCATAAAAAATGAAACATTTTATGATAATAGTAAGATATCAAAAAAAAATATAGATGTTGATCATGTGAGCTTAAATAATGCAATGTGATTGGTAATTTCAGTGATCGCCAAAATAGAAGGCTCTGATTGGCTGATGTTGACGGACACTTTAATATATATAGTGTTCCCAAAACCTGAACTGAGACCTGGAACCGAACCAACGGATTGGATCGGATCTATAGTTTTCTCTGAACCGTTAATACCTGATCTGACCCAGTAGGTAATATGGTCGCATGATATTTTCTAATTAGCGATAGTAAAATGATAATCTCAATATAAAAGTTTTTTTTCTATCATTATTTTTATGTTGGAATTTCATAATAACACTAAGATTGCACTTCTGAAGGGCAAAAAGCACCAAGGCTTTTTACTTTGCAAAAATAGCATCGTGATGTGATAGGTTGCATACCTTGTGCCGGAGTACTATGTGCAGGGTAAATTACAATATGTATAACGATAAGCGATAACAATTTGCGTAATCTAAAAGTTTAATCCGTCCAATATAAAGTCTGTCATAATTATATAATCATGCATAAATGTAAAGTCTGTCATAGTTATGTAATCATGCATAGATAAATAAATAGAGGTTCGATTTGACAGATCGAACTCACTTCTGATTTTTCTTGTAAAAACCTGTGCTAAAGTAATAGTAACATGTGTCTTGTTGGTAAAAAAAGGAGGAGCTAGGTGTAGAAAAAACGAAGTTTTTAGTAAAGTAATTGTAACAAACAAGTATAAAATTTAGCCCTTATGATAATTAGCCTAGAACATTTTACAAGAAAACTGGAAACATTTTTTTTTTTTAAAAAAAAAAAAATTTAATTATATTGACTTAAGGTGGCTGCTTGAATAAAATTACTGTCTTTTACTTTGAAGAAGGAAAACACAATAATGTCAAGTCCATCTGCATTATCTTATGATAAAACACAAGAATCAATAGAAATATTGTCTAGTAACAAAGCTCAGGAGCCAACATATGAGTTACCTTATAATGAAGCTCAAGAATTGATAAATACAACTTACTTGGATAAATTTAATGATAATGAATCAATATCTATAGAAGCTGGTGGTAGTAATAAGTCTTCTAAATGTACAAGGTAATAGATTAATTATATCAAAAAAATTAGCTATAAGATTATATTATGTACTAACTTACAGTATTATTTACAGATCATTTGTGTGGAACTATTTTGTAAAGGAAAAAAATAAAGATGGATTATTAGTTGCAGTGTGTAAATTTTGTAATACAAAGTTAAAAATTCATGAGGATGGATTGATGTCAAGTTTTAGGAAGCATTTTAACACTAAGCACAGAAATAAAGTACCAGAGCTGAAAAAGTCAAATGATAATAATAATAATAAAGTGCAAAGTCTTTCTGTTTTAGATATGTTAAATAACAAAGCTGTAAGTTTTTTTTTCAATTTATATTGTATTTTTTTAAAACTATTATTCTATAATATATATGATTATTAGGATAAAAATTATAATCCTGAACTCTTTGATTCTAAAAAATTCACTAACCTTATCAAAAAGTGGGTTATTAAGCATAATCGGTCATTTTATATAGTTAAAGATGACGGTTTTAGAGCAATATTTACATATTTAGATTCTCGTGCAAAAGATATAATACACCATATGTTAAATATTATATAAATGGATTATTTTTTTACCAATTGTAATTTTATTAAAAGTACTTAACTTAAAAAAATTTTTTTATAGCACCATCATCAAACTTAATTGCAAGACATATCACAAACAATTTTGAAGAGGAACATGTTCAGCTTCAAAATAAGTTGTGTAATATTCCTGGGCGTATATCATTAACAACAGACATCTGGACAACTGACAATAATAATAAATCATTTATGTCAGTTACGATTCATTATATAAGTGAATTATGGTTAATAAAAAATTTATTACTTGATTTTATCTATATGGATAAGTGGCACACAGGTGCTGATATTGCTAAATCTATGGAAGAATGTCTTCGATCTATGGGGATCATTTCAAAAGTAATGACAATTACACGTGATAATGCATATGCTAATGACAAATTTTTGCAAGACCTTTCTGATTCTCTTTTTCAAACTGGTACCTTATTTGATGCTACACAACAATCAGTGTGGTGTTTCACTCATATATTGAATTTGGCAGTACAAAGTATGTTTAAAAATGCAGGAAGTGAATTAGAAAAGGTAATAAATTAGTCTTTGTTTATTTGTATGTTTATAAAAATCTTACTTATTATTGTACATATTTAGCTACGTACATTGATAAAAAGCATTTGAGGATCAAAAATGTGCAAAAAAAATATGAAAATAATATGCCAAGTACATGGTATAAATTTGTTAAAACCAATACTTGATGTTTTCACACACTAGAACTCTACCTATGAAATGTGTAAGTATGCAATAGTATTGCAAATTGCTTTGGATACTATCTCTCATACTGAATCTGACTTATGACAATATGCACTTTCTGAAGCGGATTGGAAAAAAATCAAGCTTCTTGTTGCAATTTTATTACCATTTAAAGATGGTTAGTATTTTTTTAATTTAATTTTTAAAAATTAGATTACTTATATTTTAATTTAATACTTAGCAACGGTTGAAATGTCAAAGCAAAAGTATCCAATGCTGTCAATAGCTATTCCTCTTTATTACACATTAATTGAAATGCTTCAAGAGGCTATTAAGAATGAAGATATGTCACAGTGGCTTGTTGAAGGATGTGAGGCCGTGATAGCAAAACTCTTAGATTATTGCAAAAAAACAAATATATTGGGTATTGTAGCAGTAATCTTAGATCTGCGACTTAAACTTGAGTATTTTGAAACACTTAATTG